GCTCATTGCAACCAGGCACCCCGCCTTCGGCAAGGTTATTTTTGAAAGGAGGGCTCAATGGTTGAAAAAAATGGTTACCGGCAANCTTTTTAGATGTCGATGGCAAAAATCAGGCGTCACGTCGAAATCGAGGGATCGGCAAAAAATTAGAGAATATGGACGACGAAGAGACAGCAGACGACCAAATCGAGGGGCCGGGGATTGATTCATCGACTGTAGATCAAACCCTGCTACCATATACGATCGTGAAATAAAGCAAAGATCAAAATAAGGTTTTTTCAGGAATTTCCCAAATACATGTAGCGTCTCTGCATGAATCCTGCACCGCTGATTCCAAATGTTAAGATCCGCGTTTCCCTCTGACTCTTGCCAAAGTTTTCATGGAAAAATTCAATTTGTAGAGAAAGGTGGTGCTGACGAAAGATTGCCATTCTCACTAGAAGTGTTGAGGGGAAAGGTTACCAGTGGTTAACACTGATGTTCGACGTTATTGATGGGGTAATACTGCACCATTTCAGTGTGCAGGGCGTAATCTCTACCATGCTCCTTCTTTGCAGCAGAAAATAAGCACCAAATACTGTAACTTTTGGCTGCTGGTGTTCATTAGCGTTTACGATATGTGTAGCATAATCTGAGCAGAATATTCAACCTTCGGAGAACTCGTACCTCGCATCGGCTTTACTCCTTACCGAGTTTCCGCATATCTTCTTTCAAAAGTATATTCCCTATGGGTTGGTGGTACATACTTATATGAATTGGTAACTGATTAGTCGATACTGAATCGTTACTGGTAAAGTCGATAGTTATTTGAGTCATACACTTGAATTTCGAAGGACATGCGAGATTTCAAATGACATCGAAATCATTAAAAACAACTTTTACTTTTGGGTATATAAGACTCTTCATGCTCATTGCAACCAGGCACCCCGCCTTCGGCAAGGTTAGGAGGGCTCAATGGTTGAAAAAAATGGTTACCGGCAATATTTATAGGATCAATTTATAGTAGAAACTAAAGCTTGCCTGTACTTTTTGAAGATCAGATAAGAAGAAAATTTTTAATGTGAACATTTCAGTTGTGCTTGTTGCTGCAAGCAATTCATTCTACATCCTTTGACGGTACTGTCATTCCTTGTTACCTGCTTCCTACTTGTTGCTGTTATCGTCTATGCAGTAAATAACAAAGACAACTTAGGTAAGCAGCCACTCGCTTTTGGAAAGCTTTTGGGATATATTTCTAAGAATGAGCAAGATATTTTGTCTGTTTAGACCTTTTTCTGAGATAAGGACATAGTGGGGTAGGGTGACAAGGCGAGTTGCCAAATGTATGGTGTCAATAAAATTGCCCAGCGAGAAGAGTTTGAGCAAACCAACCAGCCTGGGTGGATAGAAGAATTGACTAGTAGATCAGCTAGCAATTGTTTAAGACAGATACGCATGCAAACGCCAAAGCGTTTTCGCATGGACAACGAATGCATGGCGCATCCCAAAATGGAATAAATCGGCTCTTGAAAACTCAGTCTCTTTTCTCTCATGATGAAGAATTTTGAAGAGTGCTTGCTAACCTTAAATTCTACTCTTATCCATCGACCTTCATTTCAGGCAACAAACTGGTGCACAAGGATCAGTACGGGTATTCGTTCTGGCTTTCGGTCTGTGCTCTAGTACTGGCAGCTGTTGACACTGTCATTGCTGGTGTAACTGTTTGTTTGGGAGGATGCTGTCTGTAAGAAGGACTGTCAAGCTGAAATATCATCATAGCGGTTAATAACAAATGTACTGATATGTAGAGAAAAAGTGTTTTTGTTTGCTCAAAATGGGACTTACAATCAAAGCGTAATTCAGCAGTCGAAGCAATCCCTTATTTTGGACCCTTGAGAGGAATCCCTTCTTGAAAAATTCCATTCTGGCACTACGCAAGCCATTTTTGGTTACCATGACCCTCTAGCCAAACTAATAGAAGTACCCCCGAAGAGTTTGCGGATTTCACAAGGGCCAAGGCCGAGTACTGAATGGCGTTCTCTTACTTACCTAGAGAGTTGTTTTGACACAGTTATATAGCTTGCCTTAGCCAACTTTTCGCCTTTTCCGATTTGTTCAGACAGTTGGTGTTTACTAGTTACTGGAGCTTGCTTATACGATGTGTATTTACCAGGTTTTCAACTACTGAATACCTGTTTCCATTTTCCTTGGCAGCATTTACTATCGATCTAAAAAATATTTGTTTGCATTTTCCTCAACATTCTCTGAAGGGGTACTGCTCGATTTTCCTAGCCTTACACTGTTGTGATTCAATTTGTTATGTTCTATCAGTTGCTGACAATGTGATACTCGTTTGAGTTTATACTTGCTTGAAAAGTATAGTTGTGGGTTCNCATTCTTGTGATATCTCCTGTAATTGTTCTTTTCTGTATACGATCGCATTTCACTTGTTTGGATTTGATAAAAAGATTCTGCTGTCGTTCATCATTTAACCTAAATAAACAATTTATTTGCTGCAGCGGTATATAGACACGTTGCCTATAACATTTCTATTCAAGGCCGCGCCAGTCGCCCTTCCATTCAGGACCATAACTTTCGTCACTGCCTGAAATCATGAAACAATACCATGAAGAAGTCTACTCCACTCGATAACATTCTCACTAATGCAAATTCTTTCCCCATGAATGTTTTCCAATATGAAGAGTGACCGCTTCCCATCATATGAACACCTTTTTCCTTTCGTGTTCTCGTGAGTAGGATGGTATAGTGGTAGAATTCGGATTTCAGCTGAAAGCAGTGTGGAATTTCCCAGAAGCATTATACGGTCACCTAACGTGATCCCTACACATGTATAGTCCTTCCTAAAACATTCTACGCCGGTGAGCTCTGTAAGCGTTATGCTTTCAGAGTCATTAACCTGTACTGTGATGCATGAGTCAATAAAGTCGACAGCTATTCGGCACTGTGAATCCCAGTCTCGGGATACGCCGCGCATTCGACTTCCATCCATAGTCATGGCGGCGTTTGAATGTGTCTGTGGCTTATTCAATGACTTGAGGTGGCCGGGGGACGGAACATTCATGTGATTCGTACTGCGCGCGGCGAATTTCACGGTGAGATTCATAGCAGTTTCGACGACTTTAACGCCTATTATTGAGGGCCTAATTTGAAGCAGAGAATATAAGTAGTCAGCTGACCCTACAAGCTAAGGGGTTACTGTTAGAACTGAGTGAATTTTCGTTTCTGTCCCATACTCGAGGCTTCGATCACTTGAGACAGTGTGTCGTATCCTGCTATATTTTGTATTTATTGAAGGTGCCATAAGTATAGTTAGTTGTGGCATTTTCGGGGTGGAAGACTTGGCTAAAAAGTTGTCATCGAATCGAACGGTCAAACCTATGCATATCAGTGGAATACGCTTAAATGCGTGAAATTGGGTATACAACCGATTTATTTACGATCACCAGCTTCAATTTGACGAACAGTGCGGCCAAAAAGCACCTGGAGGTGATCCAGCAGTACTGCAGCCATAACTGTTCGTCCAATAACGCGCCCCGTCCACACAACGCATCATGCTTGCAGCGGTCTCGCAGCGAATATGCGGGCTGTTGGCATTTTGCCATGGCCGTCTCCTGTAAATTTAGATAATGCAATCGTTTAAGGAGTTTAGTTTTTCCTTGAAAGGTAAACTTTATTTGCAGGGATATTTTATTTTATACCTTGCCCGTAACATCTTTGTTTGCATGCCGAATTCTAGGGTAACGAAATGGTTCATTCTCGAAATATGACCCCATTTGTGGTAGTAAACGTTATCGATGAAAAGTTACGAATTTTTTGCTTCGAAAGATCTACTGAGGAAATCTGTCATTGCTGGGATTAACTCCCATCATAGTGTGTTCTGTGTTTCAGAGATATCGCAACGAAAACTAGCTCGCAACTCTGTTGAGCCGGATTATTCACAGTTTTCTACATTTTTTACAGGATCAGGACCAGCGATCGTTGGCTAAAAAAAGCTGCTGCATGTTTTGAATTTTCGAGGTTATTCTCAAAGTGCTTCACTGTGCTATTTATAAATCTCACGCATCTGCTAGCTATTTTGGCCCATTGGAACAATTTTCTCTAATAACTTCCATATTTCTACTTGTAACTTGCTCTTGTCGTATATTTATACTGATTTTCTACACTGGTGTCATAGTAGAGCCAGATTGAATGAATTTTTGTTCGGGTTATTAGAGCATAACATTTTTCCTTCTAGAAAACAGAATCGAGTTGTGGTATTGCTCGATTTGAGCTAATTCAATAGGTAAATTATCAGATTTATCACTCTGCTGATCCTTACCTATGTAATTGACCAATAAATAGATAAGTTGTCGTGACCCTGAGATCCGTCCACTTTTATCCTATTCTGTTNAGTGTATTTTCGGATGGAATTTGCGTTATTCCCAAAATTTAAATCTTCTATTTCTTGACTATTTGTAGCTCTTGTAGCGGCTCAACAACATCCGCCGTCGGCGTTGGAGTTGACCCAAGAGGAGGGACTGGCCGGGAAGATGGTGTCTCTCGGCGGAGAGGGCGCATTTCCTCCTGGCTCAACCGTGCACTTCAAGACGGCTCTTGGTGCATCACTTCAGGCTCAGGTGGTCTGCTTCGATCCGGCTTTGAAGGTAATTTTTGATAAACTGCTTAGCTGGATTGCTTATCTTTGCAATAATCGTGGTAGAAGATGAATATTAGCGATACTGGGTATTTTTATCTTACTACGCTTGGAATTTCACTCTTTATGTCATTTTTTGCAATTTTACTTCGCTCCTGTTGTTGTTTATTCAAATATAGCTTCTCCTATTTCCATATGACTGCGACCAATTGAGATTTGAATAGTCGGAACATTCATCGTTCTCTAGAGTGACAGTATCTTGGTTCCAGTTCGATACCCTAGTTTTGAAAATTTTCAGTGCAGTAATTTTCTAGTCTCCGTTTTCATAAGCATATTAAACTCCGAGTCACAGCTACACTAATAAGCACTAATACCAACACTAATAAATACATAATCATCTACTTTAAGGTTCTTGCCGTTCGTGATACATCAAGTGGTAAACCTATCCTGCGGATGTTTAATATAGCGCTTATTAGTGAGGCAAGTATCTTATCATTATCACCGTATTACACACTTTTTTCTCGTTTGTCTGTAAGTCCTCTATTTAACTGGCTTTGGCTGTGAAAAAGGAGTGCCTATGATCAAGCGACTAATAACTGGGCAGGGTTCTTATTTGTTTCGCGGTATTGCTCGAGCGAAGTGTGATCATATGGCCTATCTTTTTCCAAGTCTTATAGAATTCACTTTTTAGAAGTTGCAGAGAAAGCACGTGGATGATGAGTAGCTTGAGCAGGAATAGGGAAGTCTAGTGAGAAAGCACTTTCGTTTTTCTGGACAAGTTTTCAAGCATTCATTTTTTAAGCTTGCATTCTATCAAGGTCCGATCGTTGTAAAACCCTTTTGAATATTATTTCGGGGTCTTTGAAAATGAAACAAATATGTTATTCAAAGTTCATTTTATCGATATTAATATTTATAGCTTATTTTTGCAGATTCGGGAAATATCAGGGCCGGCTAATGGTGATTCACTAGAAACGATGTTTTCTCCGAGTTCGATGAGTAATCAGCAGGTTTCTCCATTTCGAATTAGTACACTTTTCAAACATTTTTCACTAGCTGTTCCCAAGACGTAGTGTTCATGTTTCTCGTGGGGCATCGACAGTGGTTCGGAATGTTGGTGTTGACGTGTTCAGTTCGATTCCTCATATCTTTGGGAACAATCGTCTTTAGTTGTAAACCGTGCTAGGGAATGTGACCCTAGATAGGCTGCTTGTTCAGGTAGCTGATCGGAGTGCAGTAGCGGAAAACCGTCGATGTGTGGAAGCAATGGAGACTGACGTCACATTAGATGGGCAAAGAGCATTCATTCAACTTCGGCGAACTCTTGACGATGTTCGTTGGAGAGGCGAAGAGATCTCGGTCCTAGAGCGTGTTGTTGTACGACCACCATATACACCTGAAAGTGCTGTAGCATTACAGGTTGGAAATTTTCGAACCTTTTATTTGAGTCCGATTTCTTTACTCAATATTTTTTCAAGATTTCTTTTTGTCTCAAATAAGATGCAATTCGAATCAACAGAGAAGCTGGTGTGTTTCCTTTTCAATCAAGCTTAGCCAAGGCTGTGACATGGAAAGGTTCCTTACACTGGAAAATAATGTGCTGTTAAATGAAATTTCCTGAGATCTTGCAGTTTTAGAATTTTGCCTAAGATCGTTTCCGAGATACATGTTAACCTCGAGGCTGTGAAAAAATCGAAATTGTGTTCCACAGAACAGCATGCCAAAATTAAAAACCAGTCGCGTTCACAGTGACGATAAATATAAGAAATTCCATGTTCTAGGAAGGTGACTCGCAATCTCAATCGGCACTTATGCACGTTCGCAAGATATTGTCGAAGCCTTTCATCCCCGAACAGAAGCTGACTGCATGTTGTGTGGCTCCTGAAGGCAATGGAGGTGTCTAGATAGCGTCGCCTATAAGATCTTGGAAGGCGTCAATTTGCATTCATTAGATATGTCCTTTTCATCAAAGTCATTTTCATATTCTCGTTCACGTGTAATACCTACGTGCCACTGATGATTGTGAGGTAGGGTGCGTCTAAGGTTTGAATAAATCAAGAATTACAACAATTTCCCCATGTGTTGTGCATATTCAATTAGGTCGTAGGAGATAGATGTAATTTTGCTTAAACGTGGCAATAGAAGTCCGCCTAGATCCATATGTCTTTTCACTCTTATATTCAAATCTCTTCGCCTACTTTGTTATCACATGATGATGCTCCTACGATAGGCTATCGCGGTTTAGTGGGATAGGTCGTGGTCATAGGCTCCGATGCCTTCGTTGCTCTAAATATGTTGATTGATTATGAACCACACGCATCAGAGCAGCTCTTTCCGACCGTTCTTTTGTACCCACTGATGTTCCTTTGTTTTTTTGAAGAAATTCGGTAATATTGTTTATAATGACAGTGTTCAGTGTTCTTCATTCTGATGAGAGGTCGGTCGTGGCTGTCTCAACAGCGTGACTGATAGGTTTAATGGTTATTAGGTATTCAATATGATACATACTTTATCCCCATTCTTCTTCTGTAAACCAGCACGCACTTCACGAACGTCAGTACTTGATTTGTTGTCCCTTCTAATAAGATTTTTCTATTGGTGATTAGAATGTCGTAAAAGATTTCCGTTTAAATGATTTCTCCTTCACCTGTGTTTGTTAAACGAATCCGGTTTATCCAGATTTATCTCTTTTTTGACACGGAGTGTTTTTTCAAGTACAATTCACGCTGATGACGTCTATCGCGAGTCTTTTGTTCTTTTATGTTGAATATACGAAATTTACAGCGCCAATTTTATGAAAGATGTTTGACGGCATGTGGCTGCATGGGTTTAGAGCCATTCTTTTTATATTTTTATGCCTAGTTCCCACTCCCTTAACCAATTACCCGTGGTTGATACATGACAGAGTAACTGCATAACTTGATAAGTAGCTCAGACATTTGTCATTGAATATCCTTATCTTATTTTCAGGGGAGTACCAAATTTCACTGAGCTTTTCAAAATGTTTTACATTTCTAATATATATCTATATTTATTTATTTATTTATTTATATTCGAACTAGTGGTTTATATATATAAATCATGAATGTAACTAACTATGTAACTAAATGAACGTTCTTTTTTTTTTTTTGATGAAAAGTACAATTATATTCTTTAAATCCTATGCAAGTACTATGTTGCCAACGTAATGGTTTTTTTTTGCTTCTTATTCAGTTTGTAGCGAACAGGCCAGACATTATCTGAATCTGTTCAGTTACTCCCAGTTTCCCATGACCGATTCCGATGATGACATGCCAACGCTTCCATCCGACACGCTTGAAATACTACGACAGTTTCAAGAGGAACAACAGAGGATCGCTGAAGAAATAGTTACGGAGGACTGGCAGGCACGTTTTGAAGCTGGTTGGTCTGGTTAAAACGTAGGTTGTTATGTGATTCGTGAAAATTTCTCATGCATGTTTAACTTTTAAGCTCAGCCAATTTTGGTACTCTCCTGAAACTGCGCGACAGTTGTGTCAAGAGGTAGTAGATGCTCTCGGAGGAAAAGGGCGTATAGCGTGCATATCTTGTCCTACACTTATCCAGTACTTCCCAGAAATCGAAGTTTGTCTTCCTTAGTTTTGGAAATGTCGATATTCTTCTCAAGTAAACGTTTCAGCAGTATGATCCCGACACGATCAGTGTCTCCTTGTTCGAATATGATTCACGTTTTGCCAAAAAATTTCCTTCTGAGTACATTTTTTATGACTATCGGCATCCACTTGCGATTCCTCAGGAGCTCAAAGGTAACGGGTATATATGGAGCATGCTTCCTGATATTCGGATAACAACCAAGTCTAATCGAAGTCTGTTCTTTAAGGGGTCTATGATGTTGTCATAGCCGATCCGCCATTCCTATCTGATGAGTGTCTGTTAAAAACGGCGCAGTCTGTTCGATTTCTAGCGAAACCACACGCACGAATTCTTCTTTGCACAGGAACCATCATGGAACAGAAGGTATGATGAACACTATTTACCATAGCTAGTGAGAAGTAGCTGATCCAGATCTCGCGAGTAATCTTCTTTAGATGTTTTATTCCATTCTGAATGAATTGAGCTCATGGTGAGTCTGGTAAATAGTTGTTTCAGAGGGTTAGCATTTAGAGTGAAGAGTTATTGCGGCTTATAAGGTTCCAAAACAAAACATTTTAATGTGCAAGGTTGTTCTTGCTCTTGTTAAAAAGTTTCAGTTTTAGGCGGAACGGTTACTTGGTCTGCATCGGCTCAACTATGAACCGTGCCATGCAAATAATCTTTCAAACGAGTTTTCGTGTTTTGCTAACTACGAAACGAAATTTTTATGACATCAAATTGCTATATCTTATAGTTGTTACTCTTTTATTGATCTTTTGTTGATTTGTTGACTTCTTTCTTTGATACTGTTTTGCACCGGTTGCGTTTCGATTATTTTCCATCTCCTAGTGGTTTGTAGACAGAAGTTTGTCAGCAGTTGTTTGTCCAGAGGTTTCCATTTCAATGAATCTTCGATTTTATAAGTGCTTTCAAATGCTAAAGCAGTGGTTCGAAATCGCCCTCTATTTGAACAAAAACTGTTATTAATTGATTGCTGTACAATTATTCACGATAATTTACTCCCTTTGATCGTTGAACTCACTTCCTTTTTACAGATATGACACTAATGTGAAGGGTTAAAACAACTCAAGCAAATTTCCATTTGGCCATTATTGCCTGTATACCGTGTATACACCCATTTTTTAAACTATATTGTTGGCCTCTTATTCACTAATTCATGGCACCTGCTGGGCAGGGGCTCACTTGGTCAGATGTCCTATGCTGTATTGTATGTAACCAGGTGGGTTTTTCTTTCTTCCTAATTGTTATAGTGTTTTATTTATATTGTGTATTTAACCAAGCATGTTTCAGCTTTTTGATCATCATCGGGCCCCAGTAAATCTGACTTGTGGACATGTCGTGTGTGTGCGCTGCATAACAAACTTATATGGTAACGCATGCCCCGAAGACCAGGTCTGTCGTTAGCTCAGCTGTTCGATGCCTTTGCAGTTTTCTAGCAGTTATTTCAGTGCGAAGGTAAATATCCTGTTACGAGCTATCCCATTAATGCTGCCCTCTTATCAATTGTAACAGACGACATAGAGGAATATTTGCCATCGTGGGATGTTGAAAAAGTACCCAAGGTATGTTTAATATGTGATCCTCTTTGCTTGCCGATGAATGATCCATGTTCTATCTCTCGTTTATTTTAATTTTATTCAGGAAGTTTTGTCGTTAGTTGAGAATGCCCTGGTATCCATGGCACAGTATCTTCATCGCGCAGAGTCAGAGAGAGGAGGCACAGTATTCAGTGAAGTGTGTAGATAAGCCAATATTTCTGATGTCATGCCGATCTTGTTGTGATCTTGTTTTAGTAGCAAGTCATGGTTGCAGGTATTATCCCGGACCATGCAACGTAAACTAGTATCCCTTCTTTGCTACCAGATTGTGGAAGAAGAAGGTCGTTTGCGAGCACTAAAAACCTCAAGATTGATAGCTGAACGAATAATGACGGAGGTTTGGCTTGTAATTGTGTTGTAAATTGTGAATCATTACTATATTGCTTTGTCTTCGATAAACGAAATTCACGAGCTATTTGATGCTTTGCATGGTTGACCCAACTTCGTCATTCATTTTTCTAGGAATGCTTCTTAGATTAACTGAGGTTATGGGCCTACTGACTCTTCCATTTCACGCCCCTCACTCGCGTCATTGCCTTCACTTTGGGGAGTTTTATAGTTTAGTGTCCTTTTTGGAGTAGCAGGGAACTGGCGTAGTAAAGCCATAATTCCGCAATGTTAGTTTCTATTGTTTGCTACTTTTGCAATTTTTCTTTCTCATTTTAGCTCCTTCTTATCCAACAGAACTCTGGCAGTCTTAGTACACATTTGTGGACTGCTGTTCGTGCACGTGGGTGCCAGTTTCTCGGACCTGGTATGAGTTTTCTGCCCGAACTGCTTGTTCCTCGATTTGTCATTCATTCGTATTGCGGTAGTTTCAGCTATGCAAGAAGATGTGCTTAAACTAATTCTGCTTGCTCTTGACAAAGGTGCACTGATAGCTCGAAAAACATTGGTCATGTATGTAGTACAGATGCTGTCAGAAGATTATCCTCAGGTTGGCTTAGGGAACATGTTTTGCAAATTTTCAATTTTTTTTTCTTTCTCGAAACTTTAATTCGCATCTGCTAGGTCTCAAAAACATGCGTCGGCCATGTTGTGCAGCTTCTTTATCGGGCGTCATGTTTCAATGTAATGAAACGTGATGGTGAATCTTCTTTGATGCAACTGAAAGACGAATTCAGAAACTACGAAGCGCTCCGAAAAGAACATGATGCTCAGATTGTACAGGTTTGTCTTGCATACAGCATAGTAATAGTTCGAGTGAGCTGTTGTATCAACGAATTTCACTTACATTTTTTTCCATTAGTGCTGCTAGTACTGACCTGTACACTAGGTTTCATTACTTACTGATTACAGATGGCTGTCGAGTGTGGCTTACGAATAAGCCCAGACCAGTGGAGTGCATTGTTGTACGGTGATCAAGCGCACAGGTCTCATATGCAGTCCATAATTGGTTCGTTATTTCCTACATATCACATTTTCCTGATTTGAATAAGAAGCATTTCATCGTCTCTCATCTCCTTTGTATAAAGAAAAAACCGATTTGAAGTTCATCAATCGAGTAACGTCAAGACACGGACCAGCTTGACAATGTAGGTTGTCATCCTCCCAAACAAATTTGGAACCGATTAGCGCATTCCGATAAGATGGGAGGCTAAAGTTGTCCAAGCGAAATTGTGGATTTGAACACGAATATAGGAAAAGCGATCTAATTTTACTGCCTCCTTGATGACTGTCATTTTTGTTAGAAAAGGAGAGATGGCAAGCGTTACATCGCTACCGTAGATGAGCATTATGAATGAATAAGTGTCGTTCAGACCGTCTGCAGACTCCCAATTCGTACATGCAAGGGATCGACGAGTTGACAGCAGTAGTAAACGGCGGCGATTCAACTTCAGGAAGTTGTGATTTGGCGCAGATGGCTCAGCTGTTGCGTGTATTTGATTCACTTCCAGCGCATCACGGTCTGTCAACGAATTTTATCATTTGCTAGCCTATTTGTCCATATTTTGTCTCTTTGCAGAACGGATTAACTGGCACAGATTTGCGGACTATATTGACGCCTTACAGAAGCTTGTCAAGGCACATGTTGATTTCACCATGAAGCGGTATGTACTTCATTCCACGGTTGTTGTCTCTAAATCATTTCAATCACGCGTATTAGTTGCAGGAATGAACAACGTGCTCGCGAGGCTCAGCGGTCGGCTGCCGCTCTTCGTTCTACGCATGCCGGTGGTTCCGATAAGGCTCATGCTTATAAAACCAAAATGTGCAAGTAAGAACTCGCTCGGATACTCGCTTGTTTTCGCCTAGGGCCATTTATGGGATGAAGCGTATTTGCTCATTGTGCGGTATGGGGTTTCATTATCCCATCTTACAGTATCCTCTACTCGATCTTTGTTGTGTTTTCTGTAAGGGAATTTGCTCAATGGTTACACTGGTCGTTTAGGTTTTGGACACAATCTTTTTCCATACAAAGCACAAATACAAAGTGTGACTTATTTGAATAGATTTTGTCTGGGAGCAGGTTTACCGTAGTCATTTATATTCTATGTGGTTTGCAGGGACATCTCGGCTCGCCGTTTATGTCCACGCGGAGCTCGCTGTACTTACGCTCACAGCGTTGAGGAATTGCGAGACGCACCTCGGAAGGACGCGGGAATTGGATCCTGTTCTCAAGTTCGTGGTTCAGTTCACGAACGAAGCCGAGTTTTTAATTTTTTTTTNTTTTTTTTTGTCATTCTCCTCGCTTTTCATTCATTTTCATTGTCGTTCTCCTGTTTGCCATTCTCCTCGCTTTTCATTTTCATTTTGCAGGCAGGAAAAAATGCATCGTTTTTGCCTCAGCGCATGATGGTTGCTGTCGCACCTCCATACAATAATAATACTATTAGTGGAGGTGAGATTATCCTTATTTTTCACCAGTCATGTCTATCTGAGACTTCACATCATTGGTCTAGATCACATTTTCAGCCTATCAAAACGATTCCTCCTTTACGACAGTTCCGCCACCACCAGCCGCACCAGCACATCCCGCACATCCTGCAATGGTACCGATTCTTCCTGTTCCAGTGGTGGTGCCTTCACCGACCCGTCATATACCACCTCCTTCAACTACGCATGGCAGTCCACCTTTGGTTGTGGTGAGTCCTAAAAACTAACTAAAACCGGGGTGGGAAAAACTTTGTTTTTAGTGTTATTGACTCACCAGAGACTTTTATTCAAAAAAAGAAGTAGTGAAAATTCAATTCAGTAGATTCCTAATGCTCACACTGTAAGAATTTTCTTCTAAGTTTCTTTTTTCGTTAATAGTAAGGAAAACTCTAAACTGGTGCTCGATGACTTTTATTTCATGACGGAGGAGCAATTAACAACCTGTAAATCCTGCTGAATTTCTCACCTCCGTTACAAGGGGGCTGGCACTTTGAGATTTCTCTGGCAGTTTCTTTTTTATTGTTTTACTCTTCCGAAACGATTTTGAGATTAACTAGCAGTGTACAACTTACTAGCTCTTGGTGACACTTTTTTTTNTTTTTTTTCTTTATGCAGTGTAAATTACTTAGTTTCAAGTTTCTGCTTTTACTGCTAAGCTTCGTCTTATGCGCAAACAAAACACAGCATTTGAATAATTGTAATTACTTTGATGGTTTTCCATTTCAAGCTTCCAACTGGCATTCCCCGCCGTGGAATGGTCTTGAACAATACCGCTCCTACCCACCATCCGCAGTCGCCTAATGGGATTCATTCCGTTCCTCCTTCTCACCATTCGCTATGGAACACACATCCACCCCCGGCTGGAACCATGTTTGTGCCCCATCTAAGCAATTCAAACAATCATCCCCAAACACAGTTTTGGATGCACCCGTGAGTTGGACGACTTCTTGCATTAACTCGTCCCTCGGGTATGATATAATCGTTTGAGGCCACCTGCTGTATATACATTTGATCCGCCATCTGAAAACGGCTTCATCTGGTCGAGCGCTCAACGACCGGAAATGACCATTCCTCCTCCACCGTTACCGTCAGCTCGTGCGGGAGATCAGCTAGTCGACACTGAACAGCTCATGATGAAGCGAAATGAAATCATCAAGTAATTTTTTGTTTTGGTCACATTGCCATATTTCTTGCATAACTACTCCATTTAGTCGCCTTGCTCCGCTTACATTGCTAGATGAAGATGACTTTGAAGATGGTGGTGTTGGGCATGTATCATACACAGTTGCCTCTTCAGTGCTTGATGAGAGGTATGTTCTGGCGCATCCTTCATTTTGAGCAGATTTCTGGATTTGTTTCATCGCAGTGTCCTTCTAATTAAGTGATGTTCGATCATAGCTAAGTATTCATATATTCGAGAACCTGTATAATCGTTGTCGAGATCTTTAGACTCTTTCCTACGTACTCTAAACTTTCAGAGGTGAACTACATCCGGTAGCTCTAGTTATGGGCCCACCGGCACTTGAACTTCCTCCACTTCCGGCTGCTAATTTGTCGACAGTACCATTACCAACGACTGCTTCTGAGGGGACCATGTTGGTATTAATGTTCATTCATGAGTTCCGCTTAGCATTCATTATTGAAAAAGGGAAAGCATTTGAGATTCCTCGAAGATAAACTCGTATCGTGGCTGCCGACTGACCTTATAGCCCTCTAAAGGAGACCGTCGTACTGACGACCCTTTTTTTACGATACCAAGCTTAACCATGGCATTGATGTAGCTTTTACGCTTGTACATTATATCTGGTCCATTTTGTTCAATGTTATACGTATTTTGATCTAGTTCACTGCACAAACTAAATTAGAAACGGCCTTAGATAGTGTAGATGTGTATGTTTAAGCACTGTCTTCGACATGTGCTTGTAATGCTTGTTTCAGAGCTGTGATTGGTGATATTGCTCTCGCAACCGGATCCCGACCACGTGCTTCAAGCATTCCTTTGGTGCAGTTCACCAGTGTCGTAACTGCTTGTCCTACAACCCTTTTTTCGACTGAAAGCACGCCATCAGCCACTGTTCAAGCAGATTGTACAACTATGCAGCTCAAGGATACGCTAAACCAACCACTTCCGACGCCCACAATCCAGAGAAGTCAGGGTAATCTGAAGAGTATTTTAGTTGTCGTTTGATATCGTTACGATCTTTGTTTACTCGATTATCAGTACTTCTTCGACCTGACCGTTCCAAAAACCGTCATTCATTTAGTGGTAGCACCAATGCATATGTGTGCTGTGCCAGTAACGTTTGATGCTGGAGTAGCAGGCGAGCGAATTGGGACCGTTATTCGTCCTGTTACAATTGCTCACCCACAAGATATGGTATCCAACAGTTTAGACAAGATAGTAGACGTGAAGGAGAGGTTGAATGAAGCAGAAGGTGTGTGGCTTTTTTCCTTTCACATTTTTGCTCGCATTGCATTGATTAGCAATCAGCGCAGCAGTTCAATGAACTGTAATGTAATGTAATATAACATAAATGTCTTCAATGTAACTTGCCATATGCTCGGTGTAGTATCGAAATATTGGTATGTAACTTTTCCAGTCTGTAAAGCGTTGCGTTGAGCTATTTTGGAATCACCTTTTCCTGAAATTCTTGAATTCACATAGTATTTCGAAACTCTACACCTACCCTTGCTTTTCTTTTGGAGTTCTACCCTGTAACTAATAATTTTCTTTCAGGAGTAAGGACTTGAAAAAAATTGTGAAATATTCAGGGGCTTCATCAACGGCTGTCAACCAGCAGCTACTTGTTGAGCTGCGAATTGCTGAACGCGAGATGGATCTTCTTGATCCTCGCACACAGGTAAATTGTGCTTCACTATGACTATTGAAATGTTATTCGTCTGAACTCATTTGACTTTAATGTTGACTGCTTCACTCCAGGTATTCATTCTTTTATTGATCATTTCGCATGATTGCTGGGCTAAATTAAAAGGGAACGTTTCGAAAATCTTTGGTTGTTCGATATGTACAATACTCGGCTTAGGAGCAACATCTAGTTCAGGGGTTGCTGAAGCTAAAGATCACTCTTTATTTATTGATCAATTTGTTCTATTTTTCTATACTTTTTGATATCTCACATATATGCCCCTAATGCCTGCGGTTGGATATGCGATCTGCAATAAATAGTCGTCTTGACTTCCTCTATCTGGCAACATAATAAGTTTCATAATTCAGGCTTCATGTTTACTTCGTGAACTACGGCAGGTCGATAAACAGATTGAACAAATTGAAGCAGCACGACCCATTGAAAACTGTTAATGATAGCTTGCAAATGAAAAGCAGTTTCAAAGTAATGGAGAATCTTCCTTATTCAGAATAGTGTGTCTAAAAAAGTTGATGTAGTTTATTCATTCTATTTACTATGTAACCAGTATGTTTGTAATTTCATTTGTTTAACATTCTCATTATGAAGGTCTTACATTCGAATAAGTTTAAATTGCTACTACTAATGTCCTCGAACATTCTCGAACAAGCCTGATCCCATAATTGTTTTGTAGTGATGATTTAGCTGTGATTGTCCTGTCTTTATTCGATAGGTCTCTTTCAATTGTAAATTACATTTCTTAGTGCTTATCAATACGCTTCTATAATAGTCTATTCTCATCAGATTTCAACCGCTTTGGATAGTATGCTTTATGTAGATGTGGTTCAGTGGCTATTGCAATTAAGGTACGAATCAATTTATCGTATATGCATAAAGTGGCGGTTCGGTGGAAGCGGTTGTTGTTGTGAACATTCGTATTCGGCTTGTTCTACACCCGTTAATACCTAAAATCTTTGATAATGCTTTGATATATCTTGATCCGCACTTCTGGAGGCTCTTCGCTTCGTTTCTTTCTCGATCTTACGAATTTTACAACGTCAGGAATAGGAAGAGGCAGCAGTCCGATAATTATGAACAATGCTTCGTCTGACTTGAACGGCGCCCACTCTGCAACCGAAACATATCTGTACGTGGTTTTTTTAGCTATAAGAAAGTGAATAAAAGCGCTAGGGTGATGTAATGATAAATATGATGTTTAAGGGCCTCATCCGAACATCCAGAGTCGTATACGGGCCTGAAATCACAGTCGTGCTCAACAAATGGCTGCACAACTCCCTATAAAGGTTTGACCATTACGCGGTAACTTCGACATCAGGCTTCTTCTAAACCCGTGTTGTTGCTTCCCTTAGGTTTTGATTCACCGGAGCATGTTGGTGATACGTCGTCGGCATCTCGGTCAGAGTATTATCGTATGATGTATAATTGCCTACAAGTAGGTATTTTAGAGTTTATGTTCCGTTTATCTTTTCCTTCTTATCCTTCTTCTTGGGGATGTGATTAAGTAGATAATAAATAATCTCACTGAAACTAGATTACATTGATTTTCAGGAAAAATTCGATTACGTACAGGCGAGCACCAATAGACTGCGAGATCGGCTATATCATGTAAAGAAAGTGAGTGTAATTGAGGCAGTCAGGGTTGATTCAAACCCTCCAGGCAGTGTTGAACTTTGTTTCCAGGAAGTCACATATCTAAAGAGGATGAAGCGCGTCTTAATCCGTCGATTAGCTCGCTATGGTGAATCATACTCATATGCTCCCTTGGAAATACCAGATAACGTTGACATCGAAGATCCGGTGGTAAAAAGACGCAAAGAACGCCGCGAAAGGGAACGAGAGAGAAAGGAAGCAATTAGAGCTGCTAAAGTGAGTGAACGTTAGGAGTAGATTTGTCAACCTGAAAGAAAAGCTCATATTGATGAGCCATCTGCTCCACTCGCGTTGACGGTTTACACACTACACAGATTGTAACTATTATGGTCGTTCAGGATTTAGGGGCTTTCTCATGTGGTTTTCCAGTTTGCTCCTTTTCAGAGAGCTCAGTGCAGCGGTAGGGAAGAAAACAACCTCTCTAGCAATATGATGCTGCCCTCTTCGGGCGGAATCGGTCAGGAAGTTTTTCACTCTTCATCTAATCTCACACCACCACGAATTTGTGTTTTCAGGTACAGAACAAGGTTCTTCTCAAGTGTGCTAACTCATCCCGGAATCCGGCACGATCACAGTAAATATTGATCTATATTTTGGCTTTACAATTATTTAGTAGCGTTTTAGGGGTTTTTAATTCCGTGAATTCGTACATTTCCTTGTCCCCTCACGTTTTATTCATTCAAACTGCCTAACGTTTTAGCTCAACGATTTGTAGAGTGTACAGACTTTGCCTTAAATGTTGTTGTCTCAATATTTAGCGGCCTTAACGTTAAATTGTTGCCCTTGTTGGTAAAGTTGTAATGATGGGTCGTCTTTTTGTGACGTGGTTTTCTTCCACGGTGTTATCTTAGTGGTAGTCCCTCTATACGATAGCAAACAGTGCAGTACTTCGTTATTCAGAATGTTATGAAAATGACGACGGTTGGTACATGCGATCTTTCATCACATGGATATACTGTCCAGCAATGGATTGGTAAACACTGTTCTTCAATTTTCCCCTTATCATTAGATATTGAAGCAGGATATTAATTCGTGCTCGTCTGCGCTAGAATATTTTTGAGAGGGATATTTCAATATGGGAACGGGGGAATTCTGTTATTCCAAAGTGTTGTTTCAGCCATACACACGGGTCTTTGAGCCCCAAACTCCGTTTTGTGAGTTGATTTCGACTCTAAGTAGTCAAAGAATATACAAACTGGTGTAAGAATAAGCAAATGTCGGAGGTAATGGACGATTTCTAGCGAAACGAAAATTCCATCGTTTGAGGCCGTTAGTTGGGAATGAAGCTGCCCCTCCATTTCCACTTCGCGGAGCTAAAACGATTAAATGTGTGTTTTGCTAGGCTACTTTGAGAGCTCTTACGCTGAAACAACTGTCTTGGATTCCGGTAACTGCCAGGGCTCATATCTGAAGTTCCTTCAGTTGTTTTTGCTTCACCCGGTAAACTGACTTTTTGTAGAGACTTTTGTAGAAAGGAGTTCCCTTTTCAGGGCACTGCTTTGATGGAGCAGGTGATATCTTCCTTGGTAGATGCAATGATTCAGCAAGAGTTGCCATAAAAAGAATACCACTTGATGCGCTCGATATTACTTACGATCCATCAAGAGCAGAGAGCTCCGGAGATAATACACGCACATTGGTGCACGCTAAAGCACCAGACAAGGGACAACTACTCAGGGTTCGTACATACTTTTCAAGTTTTACCGATGTTTATTTACCTGAATTTCATCTTTTTAATTAAGCTCCAATGAATAACTTGAAAATGAATAAGTACGTCTTTGTATAAATGATGCTTTAGGAAGACATTCGTCTGATGAGATTATTACGCCACCCACATATAGTTGATTTCCACGCATGCTTTGTGGACGGACTGTCGATATATCTGGTGCTTGGCAGTTGCAACTACGGTCAGAATTTCTCTTATTTCGGCCTAATTGTCGGAATAGATAATCAGAGGAGGGAATTAGAGTCATTATCGAAACATTTTTACGGGAAAAGCAAAGGTTTCTGGAAATCTTTGTGAGTGGCATGGGTTTAAGAGCCTTACTGGGTAGAGGAGGCAGAAACTTTTTAAGTTACCCCAAACTTCGTGTGACACCCAAGCTACCAGCTCCTATTTTCCCAATGTTGTTAAGCGTTTCATGTAGGTTGGTGCGCGACCTGCGTAAGCTATGCATGAACAAAACACGCCTTTGAATGTACTAACAGTTTCGAATGCGTGGCGCACTTCCAAAGAACCGCTCTTTTGGGTCCTATCTTAAATCTCGCGTTTGGTCGCAGGGGCAAAAATCGACTAACGATATGAATCTCATACTGGAGGCGAAGTAAAGGAGAGAGTGTTTTTGTATTTTTGTTGATCTTCCTGACCTTTACTGACAATCAATCCAAGAAGAATTTAAGGCTCTGCGTCTGATGTGATTCTATCTTCATATCAGTGTGGTATACCTGAGAAGGCGATCGCATTGATTCTTCGTCAACTTCTTTCTGCCCTTGTCTATCTACATGCTCAACAAATAATCCATAGGTTGGTGATTGTTTTCTAAAGCAAGAGTCCTATTACCCATGTATACGTCATGTAGATCAATTCGCGCTAGCCATATACTGCTGGATTCGGCTGGCGGTGTTCGTCTGACAGGATTCCGACTGGCGCGAAAGCTGCGACCTGGTGAAACGACTACCACCGACTTCGACAACCATGTCGAGGCGTCACTGCTATGGCTCGCTCCAGAGGTCCTTGGCCAGGTAAGCTTTTATTCTTCTTCTCTGCAGGGCATAAGATTCCAAATAAAGCACCCGAATGTCAGGACCTCAGCGGGTACTCAACTAGAGCTGATATCTACAGTGTTGGCACCACACTCTGTGAAATGGCCAATGGCTTCCCTCCATTCGGTGATATGAATCGATTAGAAATGTTGTATGAGAAGTCAAGAGGAACTACACCTCGCCTTCTGGATTCTACCACACTACCTCCTTACGAGGGTAGGTGCTTTACCGTCTTTTCAAAAAATGTGAGTGTTCAAACGTAGTTTCAGAACGTTCTGAGCACAGCACCCGCACATTTTCGGAGGCATTCCATAGTATCACTGGATTGTGCTTGAAAGTCGATCCTGCTAACAGGTGCGTTCACATTTTTCAGCCAGATCGTGTTAAAGCTACATAAGGCGGTCGCGACGATGCGGTATCGGTAGCTGACGATAAGACGTTTGATCCAGCACTCAGTCTCGTCATTTAGTTATAAAAAGAGCAGGAGCGCTACCGTGAGTAGATTTACTTACCATTGCGGGAGCTGCTGAAAAAGTGTTAGGTAACCACAGTTTTGTTAAGTGGTATGGGAGCTTACTTGCTCACTAACTGGTAATTTGACGCACCTAAGCAGTATAAATGCCATCCTGATTAGGCTGCTCTATGGGACTGATTGATGACGCTCCAACGTCTTCCTCTCTTCAGGCCTGATGCCAATAGCCTTCTTTCCCATCCATTTTTGAAGAAGACAAAAAAGACATTCTCTGATCTCATGCCACTTGCGCAAACATTGGACCAAATCCAAAGAGGTAGGCCGGAGTAGTTTCTCAAATTGGCATGGTCATTTACAGTTGAACTTCTTTTTCAGTGTCAGGTAAGAAGGATACCACCCCTGAACCACAACGTGTTCCCGAATGGGTATTTTGAAGCAACGGGACACATAGCTTATATCCTTATTTATATGCTCCGTCCATCTATTTCACCTCTAATTGTACGCGTTTTTGTTCAATTTTTTGCTTCAGTTATCACCAAGGTGTAAGCAGGTACGCTAATCACCATAAATTCTATTTCTACTGTTGTTGTACTTGAGCAGTGATGATTATGCAAAATCAAAAGAAGGAGATGGTGCAGTCCAAAAGGAACCCAACACTTATTGTTTGTGCCCTTCTGCTTCAACTAGAACCAAGCACTATTTCCAAGAGTTGTAATGCACCTTCCCACTAACTTTATCGTGCTGGTCGTTGTGAGTTTGCCAAGAAACCTCTCTCAAGGAAGACCATTACTCAAAGAAAACTCTGACCAATGCGCTGGCTGTCAATCAGGTAACTCGATAAAATTGTCCTTCTAGTTTCCATCATCTAAGTACTGTGATCCTGTTCTGTGCGATGAAAGTGATTTTTGTCTCAGAAATCCAAAAAACTGAGTAAAGTCACTTTATGAGATCAGCGTCATCATCAAAGTTGTAAACATGTGAATACAATCACAGGATGTGAGAGCGTGGGCGTTCGTTGAGAAGGTCCGAGATGCGGCCTAGTATCGATAAGATGTAATGCAATATGTAAAATCAATACAACGTACTTAAGGACTGGGTGTATGGATGCCGAAACTCGAGTACATATCAATGGAAACAACAGTTAGCAATGAACCCAGGTCAGATCGATGACCTAACAAAATTTAAAAAAAAAACGAATAATGAGAAATCATCAAGGGTAAAAACATCGCTATACTTATTCATACGCAAACATATAGTAGTACTGTTAAAATATCGTTGAGGCAACGTATAATCATAGGTTAAGTAGTAGAGTAAAAAAAAAACGTCGGTAAAACTCAGGGAAAAACTATAAATATCTATCAAAACTCGGGTCAAGACAAGACGAGATGAATAAATCACGTAAAAAACGGCCCGCAACCATAAATCATGAGTATCAAATAGGTGTATTCGACAACCGACAGCGCCGATTTGTCGCAATCGATCGAATTGAAACAGATACATGGGGAATTTATTGGTAAATCTTGACCTACCTCTAACATGCTACCACAAAAATGGACAATATTTCAAAGAGCGCACGGTAATGAAGGAATCACAGTGAAAAGAACCGTGAGGACAAAAAATATGCTCTAATACCAGCGAAGAAATGTCTTAATTTATGCACCGGACACCACCAAGAAAGGCGACGAAGTCGAAAGCAACAGGGCCCGACTTCCTGTGCCTTCCTAATGACAGAATAAAGTACCGTATCGTCCTATTAGTTAGTCATCATCATCCGACAATGGCTCAAAAGTCATCGCGGTGGCTATCGGTTCAGATCCCGCCGTCCTGAGCAGTTCTGCCAGCGGAGGCGCCAGTGATGGAGGGAGAGGTGGAGGAGCTGTCGACGATGGTGCTACGGCCAGAGGAAAGTCGAAATCAAGCGCCGAGAACATTCTTGAACCTTGTGAAGCTGGAAGGAAGACGTAAGTCTGAGAATTCGTTTGTGCTGCTGCAGAACAACACAAGGAATGGTCTCTACTAGCATAATGAAAGGTGAAGGTATTAATACCCTTCAGTAAGTGGTCTGGGAATGTTCAAAGAAAAATCGCCGGTGGTATGTAAAGATCGAGTGACTACATAGTTCGTAGAAAGACTATGGAAGTTGGGAAAGCGAGAAACAATAAAGAACCATCATGTCCCTATATGAGCGTGGGCTCTCGGGATAGAAGCCAATGGGCAAACAAATAGAGAAAAATAATTTAAGTAGAAAAAAGAACTTACATGCTACAGAAGTAGAAGGGGCTTCTGCACGGGAGACCGGACTTGTTGGAGCGCCGTCATCTGGTGAGATCGGTTCATATGTTGGGGGACCGCTAACCGTTGAAGTGGCAAGAAATGATAGAGTAGGAGGTGGAGGCATGGCTGTCGATGTGGAAGTAGTTGGCTCCTAAAACAAGGGTGATCGTGAACTTTTGCACAATCAAATTATCACATCAATATATACTTGAAAAACAGAAATGGAAGAAAGAACTCCGGAAGTGCTTGGTAGAGCTGGTGAGGCGAGAGGCTGCACCACAGCAGGAGAAGCCTTAAATGTGATCATTTGCAGGTAGCATCTCATATTGATGAGAAATATTGGCCGTAGAGTACCTCTGTCTTCGGGGCACACATTGCAGGTGAGGCCAACGGTTGCGTTTTGTTGAGCTGGCTGGCAGGGGAACATGCGTTCAGTGACTGCTGGAAGTGGGCATAGACGTTCGTCGCTGTCGATGACGACGCTGACACTGAGGGAGACATCTGAAGAGAGGTGTATGAAGTAGAGGAATCTTCAGAATGCAGTATATAAATCAATACATGTTGCGAGCTCATTTGGGGTGAACCAGTAGCGCCATGGGAAGTATTGACGACAAGAGCACCATACGAAGGTACTCCACCCATAATAGATCGTGCCGCCCGATTCTGAGATGAGAAGGAGATTAGCACAAATTATGAAGCACTAGTATTCAAACTCAGATCCTATAAATTCACCATTGCCGGTCGTTGAATACCAACTGCTCCTGAAGTCGGACTCGTAGGTCGTCTTTGGGGGTGACGAGCCACAGACACTGGTGGGATATTCAACATTTCGAGACCTGAAATTGTTTATGCACTTGGCGTGTGTGCTAAGAAGTATTAGAATAGAGAAGCGTAAATTTGGTAGTAAAAGCAAAAAAAAGTAAAAGCAACAACCAGCCGGCTTTAGAGTTTTAGGGCTTTAGAGCAAAACAATTCTAAGAGCCATCCTTGACTATCCATGTAGTCATGAACGGATTTTTACTGTTTGAGCATAAAGGTAAGGTGGGAAGTACGCCATCAATGGTCAGAAGAACACAGGGGAACGAAACTCGAATCGAGTCTCACCTGAACCGGCTAGGACATTTCTTTTTCACAGCCGCTTCATTAGTGAAAATCTCAATAGAGAGGGCAAATTACTACTTTTTTACCTTCTCATGAAGCAAATCTCAAATATTTTTGCATATTCAGAAATCATCCACATAAACCGACTCACACCCTTACTTAAAATTTGAAAAATAAGTGGGCAAATTAATAATAAAGATCAAATGGTGTACTCTCAATATTTGAGCCTGACGAAAAGAAATTGACAGTAGTATCGGAAGAAATGCGAACCAGATTTCCTGCGAATTTCGGGAGGGGCAACCGAAGAGTGTGTAGCTGCATGAGCTGCTTGAGCCGCTGCATGGCTGTTGGTAACCTCCTCATGGACAACCTGAAATTATTTATCAAGCGNNCCCACTCTATCCATCACATTGTTGAAGTTTCGCTTGTTATCAGACCATGGAGAGCTATCCCTATCCTTATTCGTTGAAGTTCCAGGCCAAGGAGAGTGAGCACTTGTTGGCTGTAAATTTGAAAAATTGATACTATTATTTCAAAAAACTTTCAAAAAGCTCACAGGTTTTGAATCGGCGGTTGGTTGGCGAATGCCAATGAGATTCTTATGTTGTTGTTGTTGCATTTGCAGATGGAATTGCTGAGCCTGAGCTTGTGCTGCTAACGATATTGTTGTTGGTGGCTTAAAAACAAGCGGAGATTAATAGGAATTCATGTCACTTTGTATAAGCGGTCATACCTGTACAGGCTTGACCGCTTGCTGTTGTTGTTGCGGTTGACCGAAATCTTTTACAACTCCTTTACTAATACTACCAGAACCACCAACGATCACGCCGCTACTGCCGCCACTATTTAACAGCATTCGCTGTTGCCTCATCAGGAGCTCGCGGCTGAAATGTGCAATCAATCGACTTGATCGAAAGCAACAGTATTCTTCAAAAACATACTTCTCACGCAGATTGTCAAGCTTTTTCTGAAAGGTGAGCCGCGAATGTTCAACAACGCGCATATTATCTTGGGCCTGAAACGATCGATATTTTACAGTCTTTTCTATTTGCACCAGGACATTAAAAGGCTGTATATACCCTCTTTTCGCAAAAACTCACCTCTTTGAGTTCTTGTTTGGCTTGGAAGTCTTGCATTGTTGAGTTTATTCGGAAAGCTGACGTGATCATTTGTTCCGCTTGCTGAATGAACAGTTCTTTTGGCTTGCAGTTTCAATGCTGTCATTATTCCGGTGCTTCCATCGAGTTACTTGCATAATTTCGTTGAAGCCCCGTTTATTAGAAAAAAAAGCGGAGCATTGACTAAGACTCCGGTGTAACTCCTAGTTGCTGATACCACATCAGATCCAAAGATTCTGCCGATTTCCCCTCAGACAGCCTATTTTTTAGTAGCAGAGTTCTGACTATTTGGTCATTTTACATAGGAAATTTATATCTGATTGCAAATTGTTCGGAAATTCTAAGAATTACCACAAACGAGCAAATCAGAGCAAAAAACTAACGATTTTCTTTTTCTGATACGTTCGCTCCTCTTCCTCTAATCTTCGTACTTGTTTCTCCATTCCTCTGATATCCTCGTCTATCTAAAAACATTAATAGATGAGACTTCAGTCAACATCCCATGCCAGATTACCTTTTCAATTTCTTCTCTGAGACGCTGTTCGTCATCCAGTAACATGGATGGGTCATGAGTTCTCATCACCATCGGGGATGCCGACAACGACATTGACGCAACGGCAGCTGCTGACCCACTGCCGGCATTCAAAGCATCAAGCTGATTTTGTAGCTGTGTCCTCTGCAGTCGATGGTTCTGCGCCATTGTTTGAAGCTGCACAAGCATTTACATTGAGAGGAAATTATATCTGTGAATGTCAAATGATGCCAATTTAACGATCGAAAACTTACACTAGAACACTTGGCTGATTGGCTGCTATACTCCAATAAAAGTTGTTGACGTTGCAGCTGTGTTAATGATGCTGTTTGAAGCGATTGGTTGATCTCTCCCACTCGATGCTGAGGGGAGAAAATAATTGGAGGTATATTAATTTATGAGCAAAATTCAAAAATCAACTAACCACCATAGCTATCGTGTTCTTATCGATATTTGCAGCAGTTATATCGTGGTGTTTAATTTGTTCCTGCAACTGCTTCCTTGCAGCATCAATTTGTCGCTGTTTTTCTTGTTGGAGTCTGTAAAGTACATTGCAGGAAAGAGAAAGTCAAATCTCTTTCAATATCAAACAAATCATCTCAAATGCTAACTCACCTCTGTTCCTGTCGTTGCTGTTCAAGCTGTCGCGCTTCCAACTGTTTTGCCTGAATATGTCCCTGAATAGAGTATTTCGCGGACTTCAAAAAGTATTTTTTGTTATGGAGTTCTATCACTTATTCAAATGGAGACGGAGTTAAAGAAAATGTCAAATGGATGTTTTGAACTGTACGCGTGATTCC